TTTTAAAAATCTTTTTGCAAGCCATTTTATACCTGCATTAATGTACCATCACCATTAAAAATGTTTTTTGCTGCTCAACATCAAAATCAGAGCTCTATTTTGCTTCATAACTGCCTTAAAACACTATTAAAAAACATTAACAGCATTACAAACCACTTTTTGTAATTTTATAATTGTATTCACATGTCACCTGCTGGTCTGTGGAGAGTTGTTGGATGAAAAGAAAGGCCCAGTCCATTGGAGTCTCTTGATCCTCAGGAATGAGACTTGTCTACTGTGTAAATAAAAAATAGGAGGGATTGGAAAGCCTTGGGCATCCGTTCATATCAATACAATGGGCTATTTGACTATCTATACTCATAGCAGATAAAACTACTAGAGAATCTGGCCAGCAAGGTATGTCTCTGTTGCTTTTTTTCATGTTTAGATGCAGTTTGGAACAAGGAAAATGTACCAGTTGGAATTTTGTTCCTAACATCCAAAAGCAGCCTGTGGGGGTACTTCTATATTGTCAGAGCCCCCAAATCTTCCTAACATCAAAATTTTCTGAAAACTAATTCTAGAGCAAATGTCTGCCTGCATAATCCTGAGCATCTAGTTGAAATAAAGCTTGTTTTAGCTTAATATATCAGAATCTCCTTTGCACTTGCCCTCCAACAGAGAGCAGATTATCACTTGCTCCAAAGCAGATTTAGAGTAGTATTTCCAAGGGGACATTGCTTTAGTAATGCAAAGTAGATTTGTTACGTTTTACTTGGGCTGCTTTGGACGTATGTAGTCAAAATCCAAGCAGGGAACCATACATACTCGCTGCCTTCTAGACTAAATTACCAGGTTTTTTGTTACTTGGAATAACCATATTTATAATCTGTTTTCCCTGAGTTAGATGTAGGGGAGGATTGGTGACGCTCTTTTAAGACTATGTTTGGCATAGAAACACATTGAACTATTTCCTGCGGGATGTGAAACATATTACACGCATTAGTCCAACACTTGACTCCAAAAAAACTTGTTTCTCTAGTTTAAAACTGTTATTTCTTTCCTCTGCAGTAATTTGCTATTGTGAACAAAATTATTAATAACTATATGTAGTACTTTAATATTACTTAGTGTCCTCTAGTAGAAAGAATAACATTTGTCGCAAAGGCCACTACTCTAATACAAGTATTTGTATTTCCAGTGGCAAGAGTAACCTGGAATAGGTTTCCCACCGGTTGTCCAAGTTTTATTCTCTTTCCACTTCCCTTCATATCAAAAGAATCTAAAACTATAGACTGGGGAGTGAGATCCAGGAAATAAACTAAATTATGTTAGTATTTGCAGGCCCAAAGCTTGTCACATTTGGTTACCTCACCCTGAGTCCTGGGATTTTTTTGGTCTAGAATAGTCTACGAGCCATTCATTTGGGGCTCTGTTACAAAGAACACCAGGGAGAAGGCCTAATAAAAATGTACAATGTTTAGCAAATGGGAATAATGATACTTAAAAGAGTACATAATATTTTATCAAACAGGCAATGAACAGCATATAATTCTGTATATTATGTAGTGGCATTAAATATACATATTAGTAAGGTAGCAGATGCTGTATTTCTGAAATTGCCAAGTAAAGTAGCAGTCTTTCGCAGCAAGGTGCTGCTTTATGTGAGACTCCTTCACATGTAATGAATAGCTAATTTCAGCTCTATAGTCTGTGAGAGACCAGAGGGGATCAGGGAAGGGGTAGTGTGTTCCAGCAGACAAAACCAGCAGGATGTGCTGAGATGTGCTTTTAATGGAGCAACATTTCAGAGCTCTTGGAGGTAAATTCATAAAGAGGGATGCTTACCTGTTACTTTGTATTCAAATTGAGGAATTATTGCTGCAAATGGACAAGCAGGCATATGAAATGCACATTTATGTTGAGTCTGTGTGGTGGGGCTTTGGTAGCGGGGGAGGGACCACAGAGGTGGCTCCTGTGAGAAGTTGCTAGAAGCTCTCCCAGCTCTAAAAGCTGGACCCACATCTGGCCAAGCCTGAGCCTGTCAGCAATGATGATGAACACCTCAGTGATGAACATATTTAAGAAAAGGATAAAATAAACTTCTAGAAGATCTGCAGCAGAGAGGAGTGGGATGTGAAGGAAATACCTGTGTCACTGAGGTCAGTGAAGAAGGAGAGGGAGGAGGTGCACCAGAGCAGAGATTTCTCTTCAGTCCATGGAGCACCCCATGCCAGAGCAAGTGACTGTGTCTGAAGAAGGCCATGACTGTAGGAAGTCCATGCTAGAGCAGTCTGTTCCTGAAGGACTGCACCCTATGGAAGGGACCCATGGTGGAGCAGTTTGTGAGGAAATGCAGCCCATGGGAAGGACTCGTGTCAGAGGAGTTCCTGAAGGACTCTCTCCTGTGGAAGGGACCCCATGCTGGAGCACGGGAAGAGTGTGAGGAGTCCTTTCCTGAGGAGGAAGGGGCAGCAGAAAATGTGTGATAAACTGACTACAACCCCCATTCCTCAGCCCCCTGTGCCACTGGATGGGAGGAGCTAGAGAAAACGGGAGCAAAGTAATTCAGGCCCAGGAAGAAGAGAGGGGTGGGAGAAGGTGTTTCTAAGATTTGGGTTTGCTATTGTCCTATTCTATTTTGATTGGTGACAAATTATTTTTTTTCCTATGACAAGTCTGTTTTGCCTGTGACCACAATTAGTGAATGAACCCGCCCTGTCCTTGTCTTGATCCATGGGCTTTTTGTTATATTTTCTCAGAAGCACAGAATCACAGAATCATCCTGGTTGGAAAACACTTTGAAGATCATCAAGTCCAACAATAACCTAAATCCCCCAACCATAACCTAATCTACCATTCAGAGTTTAAATCATGTCCCTAAGCACCACATCTATATTTCTGTGAAGCACTGGCAGGGGTGGTGACTCCACTGCCTCCCTGGGCAGCCTGTTCCACTGTCTCAACCACTCTTTTGGTAAATAAATTCTTTCTAATATCTAGTCTAAACCTCCCCTGGTGCAGCTTCAGGCCATCTCCTGTCATTATTCACTTGAGAGAAGAGGTCAACTCCCACCTCCCTACAACCTCCTTTCAGGTAGTTGTAGAGAGCAATGAGGTCTCCCCTCAGCCTCCTCTCCTTCAAACTAAACAATCCCAGTTCCCTCAGCCTCTCCTCATAGGACTTATTCTCCAGACCTTTCACCAGCTTGGTAGCTCTCCTCTGGACATGCTCCAGCAACTCTACATCCATCTTGTAGTGAGGGGCCCAGAAGTGAACACTACTAGAGGTGTGGCCTCACCAATGCCAAGTACAGTACACTTCTCTACTCCGGCTGGCCACATTATTCCTGATGTAGGCCAAGATGCTGTTGGCCTTCTTGGCCACCTGGGCACACTGCTGGCTCATGTTAAGTGGGCTGTCAACCAGCTCCCCATTGATCCAGTCTGTCCAGGTCTCTCTGCAGAGCCTTCCTACCCTCAAGCAAATTGACACTTCCTCCCAGCTTAGTGTCATCTGCAAACTTACTTAGGAAGCACTCAATCCCCTCATCTAGGTCATTAACAAAGATACTGAACAAGACTGAGCCCAAAACTGAACCCTGGGGGACACCACTGGTGACCAGCCGCCAACTGGATCCAACCCCATTCACTACAACTCTCTGGGCTTGGCCAGCCAGCTAGAGAGTGCACCTGTCTATGCCATGAGCCACCAACTTCTCTAGGAGAATGCTGTGAGAGACAGTGTCAAAGGCCTTTCCAAAGACCAGATAGACAACGTCCACAGCTCTTCCCTCATCCACCAGGCAGGTCACCTGATCATAGAAGATCAGGTTAGTCAAGCAGGACCTGCCTTTCCTGAACCCTTGCTGGCTGGGCCTGATTCCATGGCTATTCTGCACTTGCCATGTGAGTGCACTCAAGATGAGCCTCTCCATGATTTTCTCTGGTACCGAGGTCAGGCTGACAGGCCTGTAGCTCCCAGGATCCTTCTTTGGGCCCTTCTTGTAGATGGGCATCACATTGGCAAGCCTCCAGTTGTCTGGGACATCCCCTGGAGGAGGACTGTTGGTAGATGATGGAGAGAAGCTTGGCAATCTCCTCTGCCAGCTCTCCCAGTACACTTGGGTGAATCTCATCTGGCCCCTGAGTGTCTAGGTGCTGCAGCAGGTCTCTGACTGCATCCTCATGGATTGTGGGGGAGTTGTTCTGCTCTCCATCCTTATATTCCATCTCAGGAGGTTGAATATCCTGAGGGCAGCTGGCCTGACTATTAAAGATGAAGAAGTCATTAAGTATCCATATATAGCATATGACAAGGTGTAACCATTTCATACTGGAAAAGGATAGATTTAGATTAAACATTTGTCACCGTTTGACTCAGGATTGACAACAGTTCGTAAAACCTTTTTTTATTGTCCTTTATGGTACTGGCCAGATGGAGCTCCAGATGGGCTTTCTAATTTTCTCTCTGTATGTCCACAGAAGCTCCCTATACTCATCTTGAGTTTCCTGTCCTTCCTTCCAAAGGTGGTAGACTCTCTTTTTCTCCCTGAGTCCCAGCAAAAGCTCCCTGTTCAGCCAGGCCACTCGTCTTCCCCGACAGTTCATTTTACAACACATGGGGACAGCCTGCTCCTGCGCTTTTAAGACTTCCTTCTTGAAGAGCATCCAGCCTTCCTGAACCCCTTTGACCCTCAGAACTCACTCCCAAGGGACTCTCTTTACCAGTGTTCTAAACAGGCTGAAGTCTGCCCTCTGGAAGTCCATATTGGAGGTTTTGGTGACCCCTCTCCTTATTTCACTAAGTATCGAGAATTTAACTATTTCATGGTCGCTAAGCCCAAGACAGCCTCCAACCTCCACATCCCCCACCACTCCTTCATTGTTACTGAACAGCAGGTCCAGTAAGGCACCTCCCCTGGTAGGCTCACTTACCAGCTGTGTTAGGAAGTTGTCTTCCATACACTCAAGGAGCCTCCTAGCCTGCTTGCTTGTGGCTGAGCTATTGTTCCAGCAAGATGTATGGTAGGTTAAAGTCCCCCCACCAGAACTAGGGCTGGCGATTTTGAGACTTCTGCCAGCCGCCTGAAAAGTGTTTTGTCTGCTTCCTCATCCTAGTTGGGTGGTCTGTAGCAGACTCCCAACAGGATATCTGCCTTATTTGCCTTCCCCCTCATCTTTACCCACAAACACTCCACTTTGTCATCACTATCATTGAGCTCTATACAATCAAAGCACTCCTTGATGTATAGAGCCTCCCCACCTCCTCTCTTTCCTTGCCTATCCCTTCTGAAGAGCTTGTAACCATCTATTGAAGCATTCCAGTCCTGAGTTCCATCCCACCATGTTTCTGTGATGGCAGCTAGGTTGTAGTTATCTTGCTGCACAAGGGCTTCCAGCTCCTCCTGGTTATTTCCCATGCTGTGTGCATTGGTGTAAATTGCACTTGAGCTGGGTTATCAATTTCATCCTTGACATGGGCACACCACCCTTAGAATCATCTAGTGTAAACCTGGTTTTAGCCCCTGCCTCCTTCCAACCTAGTTTAGAGCCCTATCAATGAGCCCCGCCAACTTCTGCACACAAATCCTTCTCCCCTTTTGAGAAAACTGAACTTGGTCTGTCCTCGGCAGGCCTGGTGTCACATAAGTGTTCCCATGATCAAAGAAACCAAAATTCTGCTTGTGGCACCAGCTCCTGAACCACATGTTAAGCATCTGTGTTTTCCTATTTCTCTCAGTCTTCATTGTAGTCTTCCCTGTTACTTTCCTGCCACCTCGTTATTAATCCATGCAGGCCTTCTGTTTTTTTTACCTGACTTCCTCTTTGTTAGGACACATTGCTCTTGGGCTTGGAGGGGGTGATACTTGAATATTGACCAGCTTTCTTGGGCTCCTCTTCCCTCCAGGGCTTTATCCCATGGTACCCCACCAAGCAGGTCCTTGAAGAGGCCAAAGTCTGTTCTCCTGAACTCCAGGGTAGTGAGTTTGCTGTGTGCCCTCCTTGCTGCCCTAAGGGCGTTGAACTCCACTATTTCTTGCTCACTGCAGCCAAGCCTGCCTATAGGTTTCACATTCCCTGCCAGCCCCTCCTTGTTGGTGGGAACAAGGTCCAGCATAGCACTTCTCCTTGTTGGTTCCTCTATCACTTGGAAAAAGAATGTATCACAATGCATTCCAGGAACCTCTTGGATTGCTTATGCCCTGCTGTGTTGTCCCTCCAACAGGGTGGTTGAAGTCCCCCATGAGGACTAGGGCTACTCCTATCTGTCTATAAAGGGCTTCATCTGCTCAGTCTTCCTTGTCATATGGCCTGCAGCAGACCCCCACTATAATGTCCCCTGTCCCTGCGCTCCCTTTAATCCTGACCCATAAGCTCTCAGTTGGCTCCTCATCCATCCCTAGGCAGAGGGCTTGACACGGCCCTGATTTAAGAACCCAGGAAGGTTAGAACTGGACCCCCTTGCTTTCTAAACTCCTGCTGCAATAGAGGAGCCTGGGTGCGGCTGGATCCAGTCCTGTACATGTCACAATTCAGACTGGGCAGCCCAGGGAGATTAGGACTGAACCCCCTTGCTTTCTAGACTTCCTTCAGAGTGGAGCCCAGGTGTGGCTGGGCTCAAAATCCTTCTCTCAGACCTGGTCTTTTCCCAGAGAGAGTAAATGTATTATGGCCTGAGTAAAAGCTTGACCATCCAATAACCCTTGATCAGATTAAGGTGTGTGACACACAAGGTCTGTTTATAACAAATAACACATTTATTACACTACTAGGAGTTAATACTGAGCAACCTAAACAAAACCACCTGCATATATATATTAAGTAAGGAAAAGGGGATGAGAATAAAAAGGTGAGAGGAAGGGGGTGTGGGGAGAAAGAGAGAGAGAAAGAGAGAGAGATAAAGACGACAGGAAAATCACTGGTCCTGGATCCAGCTTTGTTGGTCCAGCCAATGGGGGAGGGTCAGTGTCCATGGTCAGTGTAGACGAAACTCCCAAAGCCCACCATTGCAGCCCCCTATTTTATAGGCCTAGAATCTTGATTTCACAAGGAGTACCTGTGATTGAGCCATACATGTGTGAGCAGCTGGAGTGGACCTACACCCCCTCCGCCCCTCGATCATTGTCATTATCTCAATCATTGTTGTTATGTCATCTATGCAGGCCATGTGCAGGTCATTACTGCAGTCTCCATCCTTCCAGACAGGCCTTTTGGGATGCATATGAGCAGGGGCTACAATGGGGTTTCAATACCATTTCCCAAAAGTAGGTCTGGAGGGCTGGTCCCTCATAGGGCTCCATGCACTCCAGCTGGTCATTGACATAGAGGGCAACAACCTCTCATGTTCCCCCTTGCCTGTCCTAAAGAGCCTGTATCCTTCCATTCCAACATTCCAGTCATAGGAGTCATCCCATCATGTCTCTGTGATGCCAATAAGAACATAGGCCTGCAGGTATGCACATCTCTAACTCCTCTTGTTTATTTTCCATGCTGCGTGCCTTTGCTTAGAGACATTTAAATTGGGCCTCTGATGAAGCTGACTTACTAGCTGGAGTGTCTGGAATTCCTTTGAGGTATTTCTCTGGCTCCTATTATCTCAAGAGCCCCTGGCACATATCCATAAGACCTCAAGTGCGCTGCAGTGTGTTCAGCACATCACAGAGCAACAAGCTGTGGGTCCTTGGTAGCACCCCATGTCTCTAACCTTGGTGTGTCATCCCACAGCTTGTCACAGGGAAGCCTGATATTATGCCCCTCCCCCTTCAAATGTGGTTTAAAGCTCTGTCAATGAGCCACTGTCCTGGTTTGAACCAGGATTAAGCTAGTTTTCTTTTTACTGATTTTTTTTCCTTCAGTGAACTCTCTTTTATGCAGCACACAAGTTTTCCAGCCAGTGGACTGATAATGCTCAGTGTTTATAGATACTGCCGAGAGACCAAGGACACTTTGCTCCACTTTTTGAATTTCCTGCTTTGGACACTAAAGGAGCAGAAGAGTCGTATCTACAACCCTCACTTAGGGAGGAGCAGACTAGATGGACAGCAAAATTGGCCAGAGATATTCCACACATATATATCTACATAGCTCTTGATATAAATCCAGGGATCATGGAAGTCAAGCCTCTTCCTTCTTCTTCTCTTCTGTCCATGGCCGGCGTCCAGGGAGGACTCTGTCTATCCGTCACTGTTGATCCCAAGGCTCGTGCATTCCTGACCCTCATAACTCTACCCTCAGCCCCTGTCTGCTCTGTGGCTGTCTCTGGCAGTGGTCTGGGACATTTTGGAACTGCTCACAGCTAAGGAGAGTGCCATGGGAGTTGCTGGGGGTGCGGGGAGGTGATAGGATTTTTAACATTCCTGCACATACTTGTATATAATTATACATATTTTCTTTTGTCATTAGTATTTCATTAAAGCTGTCTAGTTTTCAATCTGGAAAGTCTCTCCTCATTCTCTCTCTCCTTTCCCTAACTGGGTGGGAGTGGGAGGGGATCAAGAGCATTATTATTGCTGGTTTAATTGTCAATCCTGGGTCAAACTGTGACAGCCATGCAAGCTCCTGAGCAAAGACTCTCTTCCCCCATTGAGAAAGGTGAATCCCATCTGACACCAGCAGGCCTGCTGCTGTGTAGGTCATCCCATTATCAAAAAACCCAAAGTTGTGGCAGGGGCACCAGCCACAGAGACATCTATTAATAGACTGGATCCATCTGTTTCTGACTGCCCTGGCATATCCCTGTCTGAGGAAAAGCCCCTGTGTGCCAAGATCTGTTTCTCTGCTGCAGCTCAGGCTGACTGGAGCAATTTCCCTTGGTGTCAGGGATTGATTAATGAAATAAATTGGTTTAATAGAAAATATTTTATTTGGTCTTTTTCTATTGGAATTAATAGGAGTTTAGCTACTTAGTGAGAGCAGGAAGGAGTTGGATCAGGCCCTTTCAGTGTTCAAGTGTCAGGCTTTTCCTCAGCTCATAGATGAGAGTTTTATGTATGGTTCCTAGGAAAGTGATATTAAAAAAATTAATAATCTCCTGTACAGTTTTTTTGAGACCACAAATACAACCCTCATTTACTAGGAATTAACCTGAAATAGAGCTGGTTAAGTTTTAACAAATCCTCTTTTTTTGAGAGAGGCCACTCATGGGAGCATGCCGTGACTTCTTAAAAAACAAAGGGAAAGGCAGCTCATGATTCAAGGGGCAATTCCCCTCCCCTTCTCTGTATAAGTGTTGAGTGGAGGCAAGAGCAAGAAACCACATACGCCTGTGCTTCTTCATCCTCCCCTTCTTCCTCTCTGCACTTTACAGCTTACTGCCTCTTCAGCTTCAACTCTAAGTACTTTAATTGGTAAACATCCTCTTGCAAAATCGAGGTTAGTATGTGTGTATGACCTTCTTCAGGGGTAATCAGAGTACTTCAGTTGAATGTAATACAAACAGCAATGCTGACTAAACAACCTGCTCTAAAATATACAGCATAAGCAAATGGAAAAAATAGAGATTTTCTGCTTTGCTTCCTGTAGCTTGGAGAGGTTTTTCAAAACAATTGGAGATACAACATTTTGAACTAGAGCTATGTATTTTTTTTTTCCCACCTAATTTTCATGTTATATTGCTTCCTACAGCACACTTATATTTCAAGAATACTAAATCCATTTTGGACTTTGAGGGGGTGTGGTTTTATATTATTTCCATTATAAATAGTTAACGTGTAATATGTTACTTGTAGTATCCATTCCAGATTTTATATGCACAGTCTGTCCAAGTTTAATACTGATAGAACATATGAAATTTGTTTGTATTGCTCTGTATCTATACCTGACTTACTTAATGAAGAAACGCCCAAATACTGCAGTGATAAAGTATTTAGAGCCAAATCTGGGTCTTCATGTTGGGAAAACAGAGATGGGTTTAGGTCTGATCTTCAGAGAATAGAGTTTGAGACCTTGGTTCAATAGGGTGCTTTGTTGAGTATTGGCTGAAGTGAACATCTTTCTTATGGTATACCATACCTTCTTACAATATAAGAAAATCCAGCTCTTTTGCCTTGTACTTTATCATGCCAAATGGAAATGCAGACTTCTGAAACATTGCATGCGTGTCTCATTCAGTATTATAAATCTGTTATCCTGTGTATTGGTAACTGCAGCAGTTTCCATCTCCAAAGAGCTACACAAACATAGCTGCCCTACCAGATTGCTTCAGTTGAAGGTGAGTGTCATGCATGGTTTAAGGCTGGGCCAGCTATTAAATGAATGACATATGCTCTCTGTTAACCTCTCTCCTTTCTCAGAAGCTGACCGGAACCAGGACAGTGCGCTTTATCATCAGCTCAGTGGTGGGAGAGGTGAAAGCAAAGAGGTTAAGGGACTTGTGTCAGTGAATTGGTGGCAGAGTTGAGATTAGGACCTGGGTTCATGCCACTAGAATGCACTACTTCCTTCTTATTGAGAGAATGGTTAAATCTGCTGATAGATGAAGGCTTCCTGGTGTGGAGTTTGGAAAACTGCTGCCAACACACAAAGCTACAGGGAGTTACGCAGTGAGGTTAATCAGATGCAACTCTGCTTCTGTAGCTATCATTTACCAAATAAATGCTTTTCTTACTATCAAACTTTTATGAATGTTGTGATAGAATAGCAAAGAGGGCTTGTAAACTAGCTTTTTACCTCCTTTTGATTTTATTTGAGATGAAAAGGATATGTGCGAATGAAAGGATTCATGATATTTGTAATTAAAGCAAGTTCTTCAAGTTATATAATTTCTCAGAAATAAGATTATTATTTTTACTTGATTAATGAAAGGTTATTAATAATGAGATATGGCATTTTACTTAATAATGTAAGCTCTCTTTTTTTTCCTTTCACAGGTTTCCACTTGAGTGGCACAGTGACAGAGCCTGCAATGCAATCAGAACCAGAAACTGTTTGCAATGTAGCTATCAGCTTTGATCGCTGTAAGATTACCTCAGTGACCTGTAGCTGTGGAAACAAGGATATATTTTACTGTGCCCACGTTGTGGCACTCTCTTTATACAGAATCCGCAAGCCAGATCAGGTGAAACTGCATCTTCCCATTTCAGAGTCACTCTTTCAAATGAACAGAGACCAGCTACAAAAATTTGTACAGTATTTGATCACAGTGCACCACACAGAAGTTTTGCCAACTGCTCAAAAATTAGCAGATGAAATTCTTTCTCAGAATTCAGAAATCAATCAAGTCCATGGTAAGTTTGATACTTGTTCTACTTTTTGCTTCATTCCCTCTTTGGTTTTGAGCTTTTTTTGTAGCATTCAGGAGTGTGTCCTCCTGAGATCCCTTCCAACCTGAATTATTATATGATTTTATGGTGTTTACTAAAGAGGATTCTGCTATTGAACTTTTGCTTTAAGATGTTTAGGAAGTAAAACTTTTTGGAAAAGAGAAAATACATGTTTGGTAGATACAGAGTAGGTCAAACAAAAGGGAGTTCTTCTGATAATGGCCCATTTGCAGCCTAGCCCCTCTCCTTATGGTCTGATGACGCTGGCAGGCCCAGGCAGGCAGTGCTGCAAGAAGATGAATTTTGGGAGCAGCGCTCTTCTTTGGTTTTGAGAGCTATGGGGATGTGGCCAGAGGCAAGGTGATTGCTCTTGTTGTTGTGGGACTTAATGAGAAGATGGTTTGCAGAGCTGCCTGGTGGCAGTGGAAAGGGAAGCTAAAGCAGATGCAGGACATTAAGCAATAGAGGAAGATGCTCAGATGTTGTAAGCTGAAGGCATGTATTGCATGAGAGTTGGTAATAGCTTGAACATAAGGAATTAAGGGTGTCACAGTTTGACTCAGGTCTGACAACAATGTTCTCGATCCCCTCCCCCTCCCACCCAGGTAAGGAAGGAGAGAGAGAAAAAGAGAGAGACTTGGCTGGATTGAAAACTAAACTACACAGCTTTAATTAAAACACTGATGAATGATATAAGAAAATATATACAATTATATACAAATATATTCAGGAATGGGCAAAAACCTCTTGCCTCCCCTCACCCCAGCAACTCCCACAGCACTTCCCTGAACTGGGAAGAGTCCCGAGGAATCCCAGAGCTGCTGCTGGAGAAAGAGCAGAGAGTTATGGGGGTCAGGAGATCTCGAGCCTAAGGGTCGACGGTGATGGATGAACAGAGTCCTCCCTGGACCCCAGCCATGGACGGAAGAGAAGGGGAGAAGAAAAAGAAGGAAGGAAGTTGTCTTCTGTGATCTCTGACCTTCCTCTGAGCTTACGTAGATATATGGAATGGAATATCTCTGGCCAGTTTTGCTGTCTGTCTAACTCAGCCTCCTATGGGGGGGTCACAGATCTCCCCATAGTGTCTGAGCCGGCAGAGTGCAGGTGCAGCCTTGAAGCCTCAGTAGTTAGAAAAACATTCCACTGTCTTATCAGCCTACCAGAACACACTGTTGCTAGTTACAAGAAAGCTTACTGAAGGAAAAAAAAATCAGTAAAAAGAAAAATTGGCTTCATCCTGGCTCAAACCAGGACATTCCACCCCTATTCCATACCATATATTACATACAGGCTCTATACTTTACCAGCTGTCAAATTAAGGATTCTCTCCCAAAGTCAGATTACCTTGAGGTACATATTGTACTTCACCATCCTCCATCATTACACACCAGGTATGTCCAGGTCCCTGAGCAAAAGCAATAACCCTGACAGGTTTACCTTTGCCTGAAGCAGGATAGACCCAAACACTTTTACCCAGCAGGTTTCTTTCACACACCACAGGGACTTTATCCCCATCTGCAGTATGTAAAAGGTCTGACTGGGCAGGACCAGCCCGATTGATGGATCCCCTGGTATTAACTAACCAGGTGGCCTTTGCCAAATTCTTGTCCCAGTTTTTTGAAAGTTCCACCACCCATTGCCTTCAGGGTAGCCTTCAACAAACCATTGTACCTTTCAACTTTCCCTGAGGCTTGTGCATAGTATGGGATATGGTAGATCCATTCAATACCATGCCCAGCTAGCCAAAGGACAAAGGGGAAGGAAGAATTATGGTGAGTATGCAAGTGGTGCAGAGAAGTCTAAAACAGTCAAGGATGATTAGGAAGGGAGAAAGGAAGGACATATGATGGCTATAATGGCTATATTAGTTATACTATGGCTAATGTAGGAGAAATGACAGGGTGTTGCAGAGTGTTAAACTTCATCAACATTGTAATTATACTAATCAGGCATGTTGATTTTAGTCAGCTATTTCCTTATTGTCAAAATCTCTCTTTACTCATTGGTATTTAAAGTATTTTTACAGAGAGATTTAATGCTTATATCACAGCCCAAATAGCAAAAAGAATAGGAAACAAAATGCTAATTTGTTGATCAGCTGTGAAATTTCACAATGAGTTTTAGTAGGATAGTTTAAAATATATCCACAAAACTGTTTGTCTTTTACATGTTGCTTTTTTCCTAGTAAATGAGATTGCAGTATGTCTTTATTGACTAGTGGTATGTCCTAATAAAATACCAAAAACTAAAGTAGTAAATCCAGGCAGCACAAGAAAATAAACTGCTATTACCAAAGAAAGCTGGGTTACCAAAGATAATCTATAGTGTCCTGATTTTGCTCTCAGACTTCCATGAAACCATGGTCTGATTTTATTTTTTTTTAATTTAAGATGTGTTTACGGTGTTAAAAATTCCAGGATCCTTTGAAGGAAAATTTAGTTCCCCTGATTATATAGCAAGTGAATGTTCTTCTGGGATTCATACTGTAATTCTGTTTTTTTGATCTTGAATCAAATTCCTTAAATTAAAAATAAAAAAGGTAACCAGAAGAAATCTACCCCTGATTCTAATAGCATAGGTGGCTGAACATTAGATCACCGTTCACTCTGTCATATCTCCTGTGCTGCAGGTGTTTAGTTTATAATACAAAACTGTCTTGTAGACTTCTTTGTCACAGTTTGACTCAGGACTGACAACAATGCTCTCGATCCCCTCCCCCTCCCACCCAGGTAGGGAAGGAGAGAGAGAATGAGGAGAGAGAGAATGAGGAGAGAGACGTTCTGGATTGAAAACTAAACTACACAGCTTTAATTAAACAGTAATGATAAAAGAAAATATATACAAATGTGTTCAGGTATGTGTAAACCCCTATTGTCTCCCCCTACCCCCAGCAACTCCCACAACACTCTCTTTAGCTGTGAACAATCCGAAAAGTCCTGGACTGCTGCCAGAGAGAGCACAGAGTTATGAGGGTCAGGAGAGCTCGAGCCTAGGGGTCAACAGTAATGGATGGACGGAGTCCTCCCTGGATGCCAGCCATGGACAGAAGAGAAGGGAAGAAGAAGAAGGAAGGAAGTTGTCTTCTGTCATCTCTGACCTTCCTCTGAGCTTACACAGATATATGGAATGGAATAGCTCTAGCCAATTTTGCTGTCTGTCTAATTCAGCCTCCTATGGGGGGGTCATAGATCTTCCCATAGTGTCTGAGCGGGCAGAGTAAAGACGTGACCTTGGAGTCCCAGCAATTAGAAAAACATTCCAGCATTTGTTATCAGTCCAGGCTGGAACACTTACTGAAGGAAAAAAAAATCAGTAAAAGGAAAAGTGGCTTCATCCTGGCTCAAACCTGGACACTCTCTTGCTTTGAAAAGTTTAACCTCACTAAACCAATGTATGAAGAAGAATTATATTGAACACTGTTTGATTGCACAGGTAAGTAAGAGGAAAAACTCACAAAAACTTGCTTATAAAAGAGGAGACCTGGCACAGAAACACCAGAAACAGCTTTGATTAAAAGAAAGTCCTGAATCCAGAGTTGGATGAAGAAGTTCTATTCAGTGTTATCTATAGCTGTTTTAATTCCAGGGTTGTTTTATATAAAACTTCTAATTATTATTTTTTTCTCTTGTGGTGGCTGTACTGGTTCTGGTTTTGATATATTTCTAGTGATAGTCCAAAGAAATCAGCTCTTGAATACTACTTATCATTACATAAGAATAGTTCGGGGCTTTGAAGATCTCTGACCACAGCAGTCTTGTTGACTTGCTTATGAGCTGGCCAGGAAGATGGAATAACTCTGCAGTACTTTCCTTTCATTGAAGGTGAATTGGATAATTGTTTATTTGCTCAAAATTCTCTTATGCAGCATTCGATGACTGGCTTTGGCCACCTTTCTTGTGAAGAAGGTTACTGGGGGAACTAGTGAAGTGATTTATACTGATGACACGGGTTTTGAAATGGCAAATCCTCAGTGGATACAAGTGATACAATATCCTTTCTTGCTTCATGACTGAGCCTCGCTGCAGGAAAAAAATAAGGGGATGCTGTTAAAAGCACAGGAATGTGTTGTCCATTCATGAACTACTTCAGGAGAGCAGAGTGTTTTATTGGAAATCCTCTCTGTATTTGCCATGCTAATTTTCACTTGGTGGTGATTACATTACAAGAGGGTTTTGCATGGTTTTAAAGCACAAAAGCACCTCATATTTGAGATTTGTTGTGCTCTGATTTTCTTATATGACAGTGCTACCGACGTGCGGAATAACGACTTTACAACCAGTAAGGTTATAAAGAAGGTATGTTTATTCAGCGCTGGGTGCGCGGGGGATCTCTCCTCCACAAGCGTGCACACCCTAGAGCTATTGGCAAGTTCATTATTTGCCACAAAGTAATACATATTCATCTATACTGTTGCATATACATTAGGTATCCGAGGATAGGGAGGGGTTATTACAATTAATCATTATCATAGTTGCCCCCTCCCCCGAGCTCCTTGTTGCACTTGCGCAGTATCTTCTGGTGGTCGTGGGCAGGGGTCTTTGGGATGAAGGCCGTATGTCTTCCTCGATGTGCACTTTTCACCTCTAAAATTTGGGGTCTGCACAAGGGTCTTGTCTTCTCTGCAAGTTTCTGTGGGAGCATCCTCCCACACAATCCCTTCCCTCACCCTTCAGGCCTTATCTATACATTCCAAGCCTTATCTATGCTAAGCAGTGCCATCCTGTTTACTCCTTATGTGTTAGTCCTTTCTACCAAGGTAGGCCATCTGGCTTTCCTCAGATCAGTTCCCCCCTTTCTATATAATTAGTAAATTCTTTTACTTTACACTAATACATAGATTCTTTGTCAAGCATCTTTTGAAAATATTTGTTAGATTCCAACTTTTGATGCAAGTGATGCTTTTTCCAATTACCATAGGTATCTCCAGTGCTCTGAGAGCACCAGAGAGAACATTTTAACAGCAC